AAAAAAAATCGAAAAAAAGTTCATGCTGCATATTGCTTTTGATGTTTTTACAGAATTTATTTATTGTACAAGATACTAAAACTTCCGAAAAATAGTACAAGGATTTTACTCGTTCAGAAATACAATCTTTCCAACAACGGGGATGATCAACAACAAAACTTCATCTACTATCTCTCCATGATATGTAACTTAGATTATTTTGACACCATCAAAGGGACATGTTTAATGGAGCGTGAGCCCACTTCGACATGAACTCCTGCACATTGATAAGTTGATCGGTAGGATTCGTCTTGATGGCAATCAAAAATCGATTGAGATTGTCCTTGTCAGCGCTGAGGTCGCCAAAATCGACGCGAGTTCTCGTGATTGGATAACCTTTAATGCAAAAGATTAATAATAATTGAAAAGAGAATGGAAAGAGAGGGGGGACCTATGACAAAGCTGAGCAAAATCCTTTTTCTGCGATTCGTAGGGAAATTTCCGATTTCCGAAAATCTTTTCCAATACGGGAGCAATATAAGTGGAAACTTGGCTATGAAACAGCTCACGTTAAGAATGTTTGCCGAGATTCACTCCCCCTCCCCCAGGATGAACCTGTGGCTCTCAAATATAGCCAAATATAGCACATTGGACACTGTCGTGACAAAAATCTACCTAAACAGGACTCCAGAACCGGCTTCGCTGACATACACACCCAAAAGTGGCCGTGTTACGACGACCTTGATGGGGCTGCACCATTCACGATGGAGCACTTTTGTTGAAACTTCAAACAAGTATGTAGTCGTGACCGCGGCGAGAATAGGAAGGAGCTTTCGGTATTTTTAGCTTACTGTAGCCAGCTTTACGCAATAGCACACATTTGACACTCGCCCAAATACCCCTTCCATGCCACTCCTGACGTCATCTTCTTTTCACTACTTTCTACTATCTTGGATGCTCTTTTCTTCTAAAAACCGGTTAATTTTCGCGCTTTCTTCCTACCTATGCACTATTCTGCACTATAACTTCCATTATTTCACTTAAGGTAGGCCTCCAGACCATGAATTCGCCCGACCAGACGCTATAGTAGCAAAGCGACACTACGTATTGAGTTCGGGAAGAGGGCGTTCGTAACCCGAATAAGCCCATCTGTGTCACCTGGCAGGCGAAACGTGATTGATACCTGTAATGATACACTCAGGCCATTTCTGACCATTAGCTTCAATTGTGGCTTCAAATAGACCACGAGAGTCCAGTTTAAGATCTCGAGAGGCGCCATCGTCCACTGAGGTGGCTAGCACCCATTCCTTCACTTCTTCGTGTACAGAACCCTGAAGATGTGACAGCTCAAAGAAGAAGCTTGAAAAATACCCCAAACAGGGTTAATCACCTCAATCCATGAAGACTCAGGTAGAGGTACTTCCGATGGGATGTCAGTACCTTCGAAGGCAGAATAATCAACAAGTGAGGCGTCGCCTGTAAGATGAACCCTTGTATACCTATAGCTTACTCTAACAGCATTAGGTCAACTTAAACTCACCCTCATCGATAGCATCTAC